ATCTAAAAATACAGAAATATGTATTCTAGAAGATCTAGGAATTTTAGAAATACTGAAGGGATCACGCTCAGAATTGGTGAGTACCAGTAAATCTCACATAAGCAGATGGTGCACAGAGGGCTCTGGTGGCTTTACTCAAGGATGTCATTGCCTGTCTCACCCAAGCACGCCAGTCTCAGACTGCCACGAAATCTCAGCCATTCCTCTATTTATTTTACAGTGCCCAAAGCCAAAGAATAAAATTAACTCACACAGAAATTAATGCATCCATGCAATGAAATCAGTGGGGGAAGCTTTTAAGATGAACTTGGTCCCCCAGTGCCATGGCTTTGGCACTGAGGTCCATGGGACATGCAGAGTCCTCCCAGCCCTTTAAGGTCAGCAGTGCCTCCTAGCTGGCAAGCAGACCCTTAAACCACTTGGAAACCAGATTTGGCTACGAGAACTGGAAATGAGGCCACACAAACCAGCCTAGGGAACGATGCTCTTTGGGTGGTGATGCTGTAGGACAGCGTTCAGAAGAAGCTCTGAAGGTGGAGCATGGAAAAGGCAAAGGAAAACTTTAAAGAAAAGCCTTGGGTTCCCAACAGTTTGGGAACAGGACCTACAACAGCAAGTGGAGAAAAAAAATACCTTGCTTGATTTCCTTCCTGCTTTGAACAAAAATATCTTTGCACTTTGTAAATAAGTGAGCTTATATATGTATATATATATACATATTAAAAAAAAAGAGCACTAGAGATTCCTTTACAGTCAAAATAACTCATAATTCCCTGACAGCTGTAACCACTGGATTCAGAGAGGTTCACAGGCTGAGCCCAGTGCTCTCCTCCTCTCGTCAGCTCGCTGATAAACTGCCGAACGGTTTATCTCGTACTCCGAAAAGCCAGCAGCAGTTTTCACACTCACACATCTCAGCCCCGCTTAATCTGTGCCTTAGAAATTTATGTATTCGGGAGCATTTCATTCCTTTTTCATTGAAAAATAAAAATATACAAAGCTGTGCTACTGCTGATTCAAGGATTTAATCTGACACGGATTCAAGCAGGATCTTGAAAAGGAAAAGCTCTAGGATTTGGGCAGTCTGTGGTCAGGCAAGGCTGATTGTTTCGGTGACCTACGGCTCGACACCGGGCTGCACTAGCACAGCCCCATGTCCAGGCGTTCACATTGCAGCCCACATAAACCCAGCACAAGGCAGAAGCGCAGGAGTCGGCAGGATGTTTTGCCAGCATTACCCCGGTGAGGTTTGCGGCAAACCCTCGCAGTAGAGAGAAGCAGGATGGTTTCTTACCTACAGCAGGGAATGGCACAAACCTCTGGATGAGGAGACGCGTGGCGGGGGTGAACTTGTTTGCTCGCTGGATCAGCACGTTAAGGCCCACCTGGGGACAGAGAGAGTAAAAAATGAGAGAAATGCAGACACTGAGTGACAAGGAGCACGCGACAGAACTCAGGGCTTGGTCCAAACCAGGCTCCTAGGTCATCCCTCCTCTCCCGTGCCAACCACCCCACTCCAAAGCAAAGCTTTGGGCCATCATAAATTTATTAATAGAAGCAAGGCTTTTTTTTTTTTTTTATAACCACAGCTCATTTTCTCCTCCAACGCTTGAATAATGCAGCTCTCTGCAGCTTTACAGTGATCAAAATCATTGCATATGTTAATGTGAAAAGCAGGGAGGAGCGCCCAGCTTGTCAGCACCAGCGCTGTTAGGTATTAGTGACAGAGCGTTGTCATCAGTGTTTGGGGTTATTTTCAGTCAGAACAGGGGTTATTAGCAAGCTTATTTGCAAAAAAATGACTTCTGTCTACAATTTCTCCAAATTACTTCCCCCCTTCCCCAAAGTATTCTCTCTTTTACATCCAAAATCAAAAAATCCCCCAAACATGCAAACATAACCCAGCAGCCCCAAACCAGAAATTTTAGGCTGAAAATGGAAGTGTTTAGCAACGCCTGGCCAAAAAGTTTTCAGCCAAAGGAAAAAAAAATGCAGCGAAATTCAAAAATTTTTTCAGCCAAAAATCTGCCAGCAAATAGTGGTTTGGGGGCTTTAAAAAGAAAAAAAAAAGGGAAGAAAAGGAAGGAAAAAATAAGAAAGCCATGGAAGAACATATTTTGTGAGCTGCTACATTATACATGCATGCCCAGCGCGCGCTGCCTGTCTGCGGGGCGAAGGAGGATGAGGAGAAGCACGAGCGGTGGGTGAGAGCGCGGGGAGCGTCACCAGCCCCTGGACACGCGTCCTGCTGTCCCCCGCCGCGATGACACCAGCCAAGTGGCATCGCTTCTTATCCTGGGCACCGCGGGTGTTCGGTCTTCATCTCCCCAGAGCTGAAGGCTGTTTTGCTGAACGATATTCTCTTAAATTTCCTGAGTGCTGGGAATACGTATTGCCAGTCTGTGAAATCGCTAAGAAACTGCAAATGAGCCTAAAACGGGTCCCTTTGATGGTAAAACTAAGTCAGTCTTGACTATGGCTTTGCTGGTGCTGCCCATGGAGGCAGACTGAGGTTGGGCTACCAAAAACCTTTGGTTTTCAGCTTCAGTTTGGTGCCGTGGCTCAACTTGCTTGTCCACTTGCAGCGAATGCACCTGAGGAGTAGGAACTTCTCTGTGTTGCTCCACCAAAGCAGCAAGGATGCTTTAGTTAGGTTAATTCCTAAAGGCTGCCCAAAGAACATGGACTATCGACCCAAATCCATCACCAAAGCTAATGAAATGACCCCAGGAGGACTACAGTGATGATAATGCTGCCTACAGGCCCATGAGGGATCTACTACACCAGCTCTGCACTAACAGCAAAGGTGGCATCTCCAAGGGCTCACTTGGCAGCCCAGGGGGGAGAAACAGGCATTTTTTAGGATGTTTCATCTCTTCCAAAGACAGATGCTTCTGTGTGGCCATGTGAAACACCCCCGAAGGTGCCACTGGTCCACACAGACTACCATAAGAGTCCTGGGGCCCCAGCTCCAAGGAAGGTGCCTGTGCAGATGACATCTAAGCCAAGGAAAGGCAGAGCTCCTCCATGTACCCTGGAGCTCTGGGCTCTGCTTTAGGACATTCCTGCCTCTCCATCACTCAGTGAAGCCTTTCCCCGAGGCGCTGAGAGTGGAGGGCATAGATCCAGCTTTCAAAAGTTGCATATTCCCCGATATCTCTTTATGGAGCATTTCCTCAATTCCATCTGCAGAGCATCCCAACAAACTGGGCCCTGGGAATATGTTACATTGCTGTTGCAAAATCTCATAATGTGAAAATGGAAAACTGCAGTGAGGCCAGTCCTATGTCTCTGGACAGTGCTTCTGCCTCCTCCTGACCTTTCTTTAACTGTGGAGAACTAATTTCTTCATCTTTTTCATTTTTGGTCTCAAGAGTTTGGCCCCAGTAGGGAGGACAGCATTTGTAAGGCCGCCATGCCCACGAGTGAACCTACTAAATGGGATGCTTGCACTGAAACTCCACTTTCTGGACACAAACGACTACATAGTATAAAAGCAGTTTTCTGCTTCCTTCCTTTTTTTTCTTTTTTTTTCTCAGTCTTCTAGAAAACATCCTGACCTTGTATTCACAAAGACACATAAGTCAAGATGCACGGAAAGCACAAGTCAACACCCCACCTCCAAAGAAAAAGACTTTTTTGGGGGAAAAATTTGCATTTTATTAAAATGCCGATTATTTCTGAAGCCTGACAACCAACTTCTGGTACTTACAAGTAAGTTGGTACTTACTAAGTGATTTGAGAAAATTTCATTTCAAAATCCTGTTCCTCATAACTCAGCTCTTACGTAGTAAGTACAGCACTGGCTCACTTACAAGCAAGGTACCACTCTTACTTTCGACAGCAAGTTCTTATGAAATAGAAGAATATAGAGAGTCCAGGCAGGACATCAGTCTGCAGGCTGGGGCACCTAACCATAGCTGAACTGGTCTTTATACTCCCTTAATGAAAAACTTTAAAGCTGAGAGGTGAAGACGGAGATGGAAAACGGGGATTTTTTTCCAGCTGGAGATGTGCTAAGGGAAGGGGAACAAGGGAGGCGGCAGTAGTAATGACCTGAGTGGAAAAAGGAGATAAAGAGGGGCAAGAGGAAAGACAGGAGGGAAACAGCAGTCAGAGCAGCACTCGGAGCAGCCTAGTGGCTGTGAGCCTCAAAGGAAAAACCCAGCACGCTACTAAGAAAGATAAGTTGGAGTTGGAAAAGTAAGTTGGGTAAGAATGCAGGAGAGGGATAAGCAGGAGAAGAGAGACTTACTTAAAAGTGTTAAAGAGATGAACTTGATTTGATAAATGATGGAGAATGAGCAGAAGGATTTGCAGAGAAGGATGGCAAAGCCCCATGCTCAAGACATGGAAGCTGCTGTTTTTGACCAAGCTTTCCAAGTGACCAGATCCTGTTCTGCAAGGCTGGTCTGGGCGGAAGAAGAAGCCACGGATGAAAACAAATTTATGGCAACGGAAAGATTCCAGTGAAACAACAGGAAAAAAAAATGCTGCAGGAAAGACCAAGGAGTTTGGAGGAAGGCAATGGGCAAGAGTCCGATGGGCGCCATGTACTCCTGAGCCCAGACGCAGGGTGAAGGGCTCTAAGTGCCTACTCTGAACAACTCCTTCCTCTCCCGTCCCCTGGCCTACTTTGTGCTGCCTTCCTCCTCCTCCCGCCTTCCTCCCCCTCCTGAGCGTTGCTTTATCACACTAAGTGGCAGCTAGTCCGGAGGGCGGTGGGTGGCCGACCGCGCCGGCTCACACTGATTACGGCCATCACATCAAATTCGCAGGCTGTCAATGCAGCCGCTCCGCGCGGCTCGCAGACAATTATCGGGAAGAGGGAGCTGGGATTAGAAAAAGCCACAGGGGCACCTTCACCTAGAGAGGAGAGTGCCAAATTGTGTCTCTGGGCGCGTGAGCTAAGCGTGTGCTGGGAGCAGGGAGGAGGAACGGGCGCCGTCCCACTGCCTCCGCTCAGCGCTTCTTTTCATTTAAATAAACTTTCAATGCTTAAATACAACAAGTGTAAATTTAATAGATCTAATTACAGCCTTGGATTCTCCTGCTTGCCTTGGTTGGACACCCAGTCCCCAAATGCCTGCGCACCCCGGGATGTGCTGGGCTGCGCGTCCGAAACGTACGGAGCGTCAAGGAGCAGCTTCGGCCGACGGAGCCACGACTCCAGGAGCTCTCACGTTCAACCAAC